AGAGCAAGGTCCTGGAGAAACCTCTGGAAGGAAGGGAGAGAGGCTTGTCCTCTGTGCACTTTCTGTGTCCTGGGCTCCAGTCACATATGACTCATCATCCTTAAACAAACTGTGTTTTATTTCATAGTGTAAAGACAGACATATGAAACAACTCTAGACAGTGTAAGAATAGGAAATGAAAATTAAATTGAGATACCCTTTTCTACCCATCATATTGGCTAAAACATTTAAAAATAAAGTCATTATACTAAATGTAAAGATGAGAACTGTCAAACTATTGATAAAAGAACAACATCTTTGGAGAACAGTTTAGTAGTGTCTAGTGGCTTTGAGAATCCACATATCCTGCAATCCTAGATATGTATATGTACAGTATAGAAAGCTCTCTGTATCTACATGTTCCATATTAGTGGGTTCCACATCCACAGGTGGGAATCTGCAGGTACAGAGAGCTGACTATATACATTATTTTATACCATTTTATATAAGGGACTTGAACATCCAATGGATTTTGATACCTGTGAGGGATCCTAGAACCAATCTCTTGCGGATACCAATCGACAACAGTGCTCTCACATTTCTGTGTCTGCCTGTTGATATTCCATTCATTGTTTAAATCTGGCTCAGAAAATTCTTCCCCTTACTATCTTTTGTTTGGCTCTCTTTCTAACTTCTTAATGCAGTTGGTGTATATAAATTATACCTGTTTTGTATGATAGATGTTTATGTTTAATAAATTACAAATTCTTTGAAGTAAGGACTGAGTCCTATTGATCTTTGTGCTCTTCACAGTGCCTTCCCTGTTTTTTGAACTCAAAGGTTCTTGGTTTTTATTTGAGTTTTTGGCTCAGTCAGAGGGTTATGAAAAGTGGCATGCAGTCAGTGACATTGCTAGCTGCTCCTTTCTCCAGGATTTTAATTCAATTTACTTAACTTCCTTTCTCTACCCAGGGACTCATACACTACCATGACCTAGCAATTTACCAAGGAAACATTAGGAAAGACCTCGTTTCTGAACTATAGTTGGCAACTCTTCTCCATAGGTTATATTTTTTGCTCTATATACCTTGCTCACTTCTTAATCACCTTCAGAAATGCTTTCAGGTGATTGGATACCATGATCCTTTTTTTATACATGATGAAATGGAGGTTTGGAATGGTTATGTAACTTTCAGAAGATCTCGTAGCTGGAAAACAACACAAGAGGGGCTTGCGCCCTTTCTCCAGGGTGTGTTTATGCCTTTCTTGACCTCTTCATTGTTTTGTTGGACTTTTGAGACCTATGAGAAAGAAATGGAGACTGGGCATCAGAGACCTAAGGAAGCAAAAGGAAGACTTGGCTAAACGAGAAAGCACATACTTTGTAGGTTTACGTAAATGGAGAGGAAAAGGATAGGTACAAACTGAAGGAAAACTGGGTCCTAGGCCCTGGTGATAAACTATGGCTCATGTCCTGTGGGAAAGATACAGCTACCTGTTTTTGTATGGTTGGTGAGTTAACGATGGTTTTTATATTTTTAAATGGCTGAAAAATAGCTAAGGAAGATTAATATATTGCGATGTGAAAATTACATGAAATTCAATTTTCAGGGTACTTAGAGTTTTATTAACTCATAGCCACATTTGTTCATTTACTTATTGCCTGTGGTTACTTTGGTGCTACAAGGCATAATTGAGTAGTTGCTACAGAGACTGTATGACTTTCAGAGTCTAAATTATTTACTGTCTGTCCCTGTACAGAAAAACTTTGCCAACCCATGCTGTAGGAGATGACATTCCCATTTAAGTTGTAGCTCATGAAGATCTGCTGCTCTCTTGGAAGGAGCTTGATTCTGGACAGTAGCAGCTGATTCTGGATATTTGAAAGGCCTGTTATTTATTAATTAAAGATTAAGGTGTACAGCCTGGTGAT